GCCATTTTGATGGATCCCAAATCTGTGTGAGGGGGGATAGTATGTTGTAGCTCCATGGGTGTACAATCTGCACCCTGTGGATTGCATGCTGATTTTATGAGGACATTTTGCTTATCTATGGTGCTAGATATTGTGAACAGTCTGCATGGACTTTTTTTTTTTTCTAATAAGCTTTTATTAGTGTTTGTGTATCTAATGTGTGGCCGAAAACAACTCTTATTCTTCGAATTTGTGGCAGAGAAAAAATAAGGTTGGAAATCTCCATAGAAACCTCAAACGTTGAGCATTGCCACTGTTGTCAGTGCTATGGGTCATCGCTGGAGTTACATCATGACTCAGCTTCCTTAGTAGGGCACGGATGAAGTCAAAGATGAAAGAGACCAGTGGCCTTATGAGGATCCCAAGGAGTCTCAAGGAGTGATCACGTATGTCAGATGAAAGGAAAGTATCACTTACAGAGATACTGACACAGCTTTAAAGTTCTTTTAAGTGACCACCTAGAGTTCTCATCAAGAATATCAATAAGTGGGTTCCGCCCTCAGAAAACCTGACTCACTAGTTCTGGGAATTATCAGCCCCGATGACCTCATGTGGATGATTTATGGACACAGCTGAGGAAGCAATGCTAACTTCAGTAAATTCAGATGCAAACATGTTCTATCTCTTCAATGTGTGCTTAGCAGGGAAAAAAGCCACTGGTGGCCTTGAAGAAGCCCAGGCAGAAGAAGAGATGAGATTTTTGCCAAAGGTTCAGATGGAGACTATGTCAGTATGTACTGCCTTTGCCAGCTTGGCTCTGGACGAGCACTATGTAATAATGACCTTTTTTCCTATAATGGACAGTAAGCATGGAGTATGGTACTAGGCAGTAACACGAGGCCAGAATTCATTTTCTTCCTGAAGACGGGACCCATTACTCAGTCTCACCCAATGCTCCAGCACCATGGACAGCTCAATGCATTACTATGAGGCTGGCAGAGAGCTCTCTCTGCTAAGGGCCAGCATCTTGGCAGCTTATAGCACAAGGGGAGGGTGAGAAAGGATGGGAGGTGACCTGGTATGGTCCTTGGGGGACCTGGTCTCAAAAGAAATTCTTCCCATATGACCCAGGCTGCCCACATCCTGACGGGTCTCATTAAGATTTTGTTGTTACTGTTTTATTAAAACTTAGCCAGTGGTCTTACATTTTGACCTGGGTGTGTATATATATGTAAAATAACATTGAACTGTATGCTTGCTATCTGTGGTACTATATTTCTGTTATATAGCAATACGTACATTTATAACTATCAATGCTAAGTGATGACAAGCTTTAAAAAGAAATAGGTACCATCATCACTTTTCTTCTTGCCCCTCTATGGAATGCCCTTATCTCTAGGATTCAGAATTAGATGCCCCACTTGTATAATCCATAAAAATTGTTCTTTGGTAGATCTTTCTTTACCCCCAGAGAAGATTGGATTCTACTTCTTTTCAAGCCTCAATTTCCCTTCCTATCAAATGTGAATGATAACAGCCTCTAGAAAGAGCAGCTGGGGGAATGAGACGAGTGATGGCCACAGAGTTTCTGCTGTGGGAGGCCCTGGGATCACACTGGTGAAGATGAGGTTGCCTGGAATTAGCCAACAGCCTGCCCCTGAGTTCGAGTGCCAGTTACTCTCAGGATTCCTGCCAATCCCCAGAGATCGAGGCTCTTCAAGTGGGAAAGTCAGTTCCACCTGGAGGGGACATACAACATACTCCCTTTCACATTAACCTCACTGAGAATACCTAAGTTAATTAATTTAGTTTTCTGTATATTCTTGTCCTGCCATGTTCTAGCTTCAAAAGTGGCTTTCTCTACAAGTTATTTTAAGAATAAAAGTAATAGTGGTTACTATTTGTTGAGCAATCACAACATTGGACAATCATCTCAAGATAATCTCCATTTCACAGATGGGAAAAATGAGACTTAACGAAGCTTCCCTATCTCTCTGCTGTTCAACAGTGTAACTAAGTGATGGAGCTGAGACACAAACCAAAGCTTACTTCATTTGAAAGGGCACATTCCTAACTAAGCATTATAGCATGTTGGGAGGTATGGGGGTGCACTTCATTGTGCCTGGAGCCTGAGATCCTGTGGGCGAGGTCCTCTCAAGGCTGCCTGCTTCATCCCATCTGTAGGACTTACACAAATAACTCCAGTTATTTCCCGCTTTCTTTTGTATGAACTATATTTTCTTATTTTCTGTATTATTGATGGTCTGGTATCCAGAGCCCATATTCCAACCATCTCCTCTATCTGTTTTTATACACCAGGAGGCAATGTTCCTCTTCCCTAATCACCCCGGGGCAATTGCCTGGCAACTATGGGCAGTTCCTAAACCCCAGACCTGCTAAAATTATTCAAACTAGCCAATTCCAAGCCTGTTTACACTGCCTCACCTGTTCCCTCCTGCTAATAGCACCATTTAGGCTGTTGCCCCTGTTACTGCCTTGCTCTCAGCCTCCTGATAGATCCTGGTGCTTTTCCATGTGGTCCTGCATGGTGCTCTGTACAGCCTGTATCTGAGATCTATGAGTAAAAAGTCTTCCTGGCTCACAAGTCATTTCCATGCCTGTGTGTTTTACCAACAGGATTAAAACAAATCCCAGGTACATTTTAAAACATCTTTGATCTCTGTGCACCATCTGCCTGATGTTTCTCTGACTTAGCTTCCCCTTTGCAGTTAGACATCGAGTAGAAGAATCCCCCCAGAACCATTAACAATTCTGTTCTGATTTGGGCAATTTTCATTCATTCAATACATATTTACTGAATATCGATTATGAGACTATGCACTTTGTCACTGTAGATATGACATTTCTACCAAAAGACATAACTCCTACCCTCACAGAGAGTCCAGTTTAGAGGCAGAAATGGACAAGTCCTCGGGCTGTTATAAAATTTTAAGTCCACAAATGACGAGAGTCAGAATAGGGACCATTTCACTCAGCACATTGTAGACTATCCTTCCAAACCTCCAAGACTGTAGCTTTCTTGGGTGATCCCTTGAGGCTGCTATTTCCTAACCACATGCTATCTGGAAATGTGGAGAACATGGAAAAGCAGTAGGAGCTGTACTCTCTGTGCTACCCCTACGAGGTAGGCACTGCTGTTATTCCCATTTTACAGATGCAGAGACCAAGCCTCTCACCTGGCTACAGAGTATGTGAATTCATGTTTGTATTATCCCAAAGCCTGCGCTCTTAGCCATTACTCTGTTCTACACGACCTTCAGCAAGTTATTCTTTCAGGATCTCAATTTCTAAAAATATTTACAACATGAACATCTCTAAGTCCTTCAGGCCTAACATTTTACAGGGATGGGGTCGGGATAAAAGGCAGGACACATGCCTTTCACAGTGGTCAAACTCAGCCTCAGGTTTTCCCACCTCAGTATTCAACACCCCACTCTTCCATCCCCATTTTCCAGTTACTCCCAGGATCTGGCACCTCTCCCAGCTCCATGCTCCATGACCCTAGTTGCCTAATGTCTTCTGTCACCCCCGCCAGCCCTGCTGTCACTTGCACACATATACCTGTCTTATGTACACATAAAAATTTGACAAGATGAACTAACAGTCCAAAAATCAACTAAATATATATGAAACAGCAAAAACTGAGGTTATTTGCAGCCCATGTGAAAAATAAGCATATTTCACATACACACAGTTGATTATCAATGCCTCCCTTCTATTCATGTGTTAATAGAAGTCTGGGTGTTGCAGAGAAAGAGGATAAAAGCCCTGCCGTGCTCTGGCCAGAACACGCCAAGGAGATAGTGCTAATTTCTGAACACTGCAACATGAAAATTGGAGATAAAGCTGAGTTACACTGATATAAGACTGAATAATAGAGACTAACCATCTCGAAAATATTCACTACATATCAAAAGGGAATTTTTTTAAAATTAATGGTACTAAATATGGTACTAAAGATAGAAAGTCAATCATCTCTGGGGATTATTACCTGGAAGGAGGCAAGAGGAAAGCTTCTGGGGTGCTGGACATCACTATGGTTTGATCTGAATGAAGTCCTACGTAATACTATGTTAAATGGACTTATTACAAAAATAAACAAAGAAAAGAGGATGACAGGGAATTTAACAGAGGTGATGGTTATATTTATTCTATTGTCTACAGCATGTGTTTTATGAGTATATACTTATCATCAAGACGTATGCATTAAAAAGTATAAGAAATTAAAAGAACAAAAATTAAAATGCACACTTAAGATATGCCTTCTTGGTTATTTGTATGTCACACTTTAGTAAATTTAAAGATAGTAATGACATAGGAGAAGAAGGGTTTGGGGAAACAGTTGCCCAAATATTCTGCTGGGATATGTGAACTGGAGTGACTCTTCTGGAGGGCACTTTAGCAATAGATACTAAGTATCTTAATAAGTATCTGGGACCATGCTTGGCTAATGACTATGGTGACTGTAGTGTCTCATTAATTCAATTTAATTGGGTAAAAAGTAAACGGTAAAATATAAGATACTTGTAAAGGACATTTACAGAGAATAAGATATTAATATTATCTAGGACATTCAGGAGATTCCAACGCAGCTCATACGCTTCCTAGTCATATGCTTATAATTAGACATACTCTTTGAGGGGAATTTTTGGTTTAGTATAGGGTCCACAAACGTGCTATGAACTAGGCGGTTCTCTGAAGTAGTGCAATCTTTCTGCACTTACTTTTTAATTCTCCTTTATTTAACAATTTGTACATAAAGATAAAAGTAGGCTTTAATTCAAATAATCCAGGACTCCAAAAGATAAGGTCCTCTTCCTAGGTCTTTGGATGCTCCTTTTCCCCCGGGAGATACACACACACACACACACACACACACACACACACACACACACATATACAATATAAGTCTGAGGTTGGGCCCTGCATGGAGACGTTGCACCAGCCAAGGGTGCCAGGTGGTGAGTGGACACTGGACGTCTCCAGGGCTTAGCTCTTACCGTCTGCGATGAAGTGCTCAGGCACGTGCAGAGTCACCTTCACAGTGAGTGGGCAGGACATCTGACTGCCACACACCATGGCCAGGATGCAGGAGTTCACCGCAATCAGCGTCAGGGCCGTCTTGTTCATTGGGCTCTTCAGCAAACCTAAAAATGCAAAAACATACAAAGGCACATCATTCCATGAGAGAGAGAAATGGAGATGGCATGAACTTTGGGAATCCTGTTATTTTCGAAACGGGAATGTAAACAAAAATAAACATGGAAAACATATTTTTCAAGCTTTATGCTTGGAAAGTGGCTCCTCAGCTTACTGAAAGCTCCACCATTTAGACTGGTCGGAAACACAGAGGCAACTCTCCATCCTCTGTCTCCCTCCTTCACGGCACCTCCACAGTCATGCAGTCCTATTTTCTTTCTGTCCTTCGCATTTTCACCTCTTTGCCTTCACCTCCTCTATTATCTGTTTGCTCGTGAGATAAGGGAGATATGTACGTATCTGTTCACTCCCTGCTGAAAACCTTCGAGCTGTTTCACTGCATCTGGTCACAGAAGGGGATCCATGCTCATTAGTCTGGCACCTGAAAGCTTTCGTGATGAGTCCCTGCAGTGGTTCAGAACGTATGGCTTGGAGGCTACACATGGCCTTCTAGGTTAGCATGTGGCCTTTTGACTGAATTTAAATTACAAAATCCTTTTATTAAAAGGGGTGCAGCTGAGAAATAGGAAACTTGCCTTGCCTCCTTTGGTGCTTATAAAGGAAGAATCCTGAAATCAGAAGGCTGCAGGTTCCCCACCCCTGCCTGTGATCTCTCCTACCTGGTCCAAGGACAGAGGGTTGGATTACCGCAGTGCCACTCCCTGTCTCACACAATCAACGCCTTCATCATGTTACTATTAGGGTAGGTAGCTGTATCTTTTGGATAGAAATCCCCCTTGTTTATTCCTCTACCCATCAGTCTTTGAGAGTCCTCATAAATGCAAATTCTTCATGCTCTTGGGAGATAAACTACCTATAGTCATAGTGTTTCCCAAAATACTTTATTCTAATCACTGGAGTCTAGTCAATGTCTCATAAATAGACAGTCAGCTCCTTGAAGGCAAGCACAGTGTCTTTTGTTCGCCACTGTATCCCAGTGACAAGCACAGCCTCGGGCACGCACTAGAATCTCAGCAAACAGATACATGGCCTTGTCCAGAAACAATAGTAACAATGTTAGCCGCCAGCATGGCACAGACACTGACCAGTCAAAAGCCCTGCTAGACAACACGCCCATGCTGATGGGTTCCAACAGAACAAGAGACTGTAAGACAGCACACTTGGGGGCAGTTGGTATGGACGGCTATGTTTCTTCAAGTGAGCTGCTTGAGGGAAGAGATCGCACCTTCACCACCTGTGTCTCTAACATCATGACCACCTCGTGGAACCCAGGAGCTGCTTAAGAATAAGATCCTTGTCTTTTTCCCTATTCCAGGACAATGCATGGAAGAAATATTCATACCTTTCTAGTTGTTATAGTTGTAGAATAAACTTTAAAAGAGAAGAGTACATTAAATAAAAAGATGGTTCCAGGAAATCCCTAAAACCTAAAATGACTACAGAAAAAGAGGAACATATTTTATGCCTTTTCTGAGTACAACAAAAGTTTGCTTCATACATATTTATAATAAATATTTTTATATTTATAAATATAAGTAAATAAAACACTTATAACATAAATATTTGAGCAACTAAATAGAATAAACAAGCCAACATCATTGTCATCTACTAAAAAAAACAAGTACTAGGAGTTGGTGCCTTGCATAGATCTCACCTTAAAAAGCCAACATATCACTGCAAGCCTAGTTATTGAGTGAATCACCTTCTCACCCCACAAATAGCAGTAGGTAGCAGCACTGAGTTTCTATGGATGTGAAGTCTACTGGGGGAAGAGCGTTGTAAGGGTAAGACCAGCAGGAACATGTTCCTGGGTCCAGAGGATGAGGTGTGAAGGGAAGTCAAAAGCTCCCGGACTTGGGGAGTAGACTCTCTGGACAAAGAGCTGTTGGACAATAGCGTCCTGGGGATCCCTGTGAACTTTCTCATTCCTGGCACAAACAGCAGCAGAGACTGCTGTGACTAAGACATTCCTTTCACTAATTACCAACTATCAGAAATCCCAGCCAGGGCTGCTTTCAGGGTGACGAAGGCTGAGAGGTGGAAATGGAATGACCCATTCCCTCTCCTGGGGCCCTTCCCTGCTGTACTAACTGCATGTCCTGTGTTATAAAGCCCACGGGCTTTATAAGTCAATATGGGGAATAAAGTCACAACCAGGTTTTTGGCTCTCCGTTTTCTCACTTAGAAAACAGTGATGCAATGATCTGTCCTGTAAGAGCATCCTGAGAACTAAAGGAGACAGGAAACGCCAACTGCACAGCACAGCTTCGGCCACACAGGAGGCCCTCGGTATGTGGTAATTGCCAAACGAGATATAGGAATTTGTCTCATTATCAATGGCAGAAATCGGGACTTTGACACCTCCTTTTCTATATGTTATCCGAACATGTTGGAAATTGAGTTATTCTTTACAGAAACAGAAGACAAAGGGAGGAAATAGAAAAGGATGTAAGCAGACGGAGAAAGTGGGAAGGAGAATGAGAATGCGTGGCATCCAGGGGCAGCTATTTACTCAGAGAATGGCTGAGTCCCCTCGGCTGCCTCTGAAGGCCAGCAGGAAGAACACGGGCAGGTCAAGCCCGCACTAAGGCCAGATACCCACAGAGCAGCCACCGGGATTTGAGGAGTTGCCATGGCAACTGGACCTGGCAGAAACTTGACCAGTGAGACTTAAACAAAGGTGACTTCCTAAGAGCTCCTGGCCCAGGGAACTGGGCATAAGCACTTAGCTCTGAGTACAGGGTGCAGATAGCCACAAGATGGAAACTATCGATCTCCAAATTCCCACCCCCCTCCCATGCAGGTTCCACCCTGCACTGCCATTATAAGAAGCAGAGATAGAAAAGAGAATTCCACAGTGCCTGGCATTTATTCATCCATCTATTCATTTAGCCATCCATCCATCCAACCCATTTTCATTGAACATCAGCTCTTTCTGGGCACTGTTCTGGGCAGGGGGGAAATAATCGATGTTTTGCACGAGCAAAACAACCAAAGTCCTTGAAGCTGACATGTTAGTAGGGGAGACTTAACATCACTGCAAACTGTTTCCACTATTCCCATTCTGTGAACAGACACACACAGCAATGAGATGACTTGTCTAAGTGTAATCCAGTTTGCATGTGACACAGGTTGGCTGAGAACCAGCCCTGTCCTCTCCTTCACCCTGCATCATGCTATTTCCCACTTCATCATAGATAAGGGTCCCAGGGCACCACTGTGTAGTTTCAGAAACTGCAGCCTTTGAAGTCCGCTATACATAGCTGTGTTCACATCTGGCTTAACCATAAAATTTCTGTGGGTCACTTGGTAACTGACCCAATATGTTGATGAGAAAAGAACATCACCTGGGAAATGGGAACAGAACAGTGGTCTTCTTCCAGAGCTGACCTAAGGACAAAATAACATACCATAGGTAGTTACTGGTTTAAGGAAAAAAAGAGCTAACTAAATGATAGTTGCAGGTTCCCTGATTACCCTCAGAAGGCTGATGTCACGGTGCTCCCTCCCTCAAGCTGCCCCATCATTTGCAGGGGAATGAGGGATGCTGTAGGAATAGAATCCCATCTGGGCCTATTGATTGCTAGGACTGGAGAAAGGTAATAATCTAATTTCCCTTTCATTTCCCCTCCCTCTTACCCCTAGACTCCTCTCAAGGCAGCAGAGAATGGTATGAAATGTATCACTCGAGAAAGTCAGCTGGAAATAACTCAGCATTGTTGATCCACACACTGCCTATAATTTGGGGTTTGATTGATTCTTGGTTTGGAAATGCCAGGTTGAGAGAAGAAAATCAAATTTAAGTTAAATTTGGAATTGAATCAATCACATTTTATAATGAAGAAAATAGATCTAACCCCACCGGGCCATTGTGTGTGGAAAACTTAAAACTACTACACTCTCATTGATTCTTTCCTTCTCGTATTTCAGAAGCACAAGGGACCAGGTCCTGGAGCGAAAAGGAATTTATTAAGTGGTATATGAGGTTGGAGTGGGTTCTAGGAACCCAAGACATTAAGGTGAAAGGCTCAGCAAGTGGAAAGGTCCCCGAGGATGGGTGGGAGAGGTGGGGCTTTGGTTGTAGACATGGACATTTAAATCTAAACTACTGGTAGGGCATGATGGCTCACACCTGTAATCTTAGCACTCTGGGAGGCTGACACAAAGGAAGATCTTTTGAATGCAGGAGTTAGAGACCAGTCTGTGCAAGAGAGAGACCTCATCTCTACTAAAAGTAGAAAAATTAGCCAGATGTTATGGTGGATATCTGTGGGAGACAGCCTGGGAGGCTGAGGCAGAAGGATCACTTGAACTCAGGAGTGTGAGGTTGCTGTGAGCTATGCTACTATTGTGCTACTGTACTCTAGCGAAACAAAAATCCAAACTCTTCCATTTAATAGCTGACTTCTGGCAAATAAGGTAAGCTTTCAGAACCTTAGTTTTCTAGTGTAAAAAATGGCAATGGCAATCTTTAACTGGTAGAGAAGCTGTGTGGATTAAGTGAGAAATTATAATCACAGCACTAAGCTCTATGCCTGACAAACAGGAGGGGCCTTGCAAGCTCTTGGTATCTTTCCTTGTGTCTGATTTCCTTCAACCCTCAGTGCCCCATGCTTGGCATCTACCTGAGCATCAGAGAGACACGTGATATTTTGTCTATGCTAGAATTCTACCTTTTACTTAGCTACTGGGCCCTGTGGACCAGCCGTCTTAGTTCTCTAAGACTCAATGTCCTTGTCTGGGAACTAATTCATTCAATAAGTAGCTAGTTTCTGTGCAACTACTGTATGCCAGACCTTTTATTTTATGCCATCCTATTATTTCCACTGATGAACATAATAGATGCTCAATGAACTTATATCAAATGAATGAATGAATGAATCCTTAAATGTTGTTTCCTTTAATACTAAGAGATGTCAGTATTAGAATATTGCCATTGGGCTTTTTTTCTAGACAAATCTTTAGAAAAAAAAAAGTATTTTTCCAT